AAGACGATTGAACGTAGCTGGAGCGTTCGACAATCCATGTCGCATAACAAGCCACTCCTATAGCATACCGCTTGGAGTGCTGACCGCTGTCAGCAAAATATTGATTTCTCGCATGAGCAACTGGTAATAACATTGACCAAGTCGAGCGCACTATACGTTGTACATCCCACCATATTGTTCTGAAGAACATCCTTCCTCGTAATTGTTGTCTGAGCCGGGATGGTGTCCGCATTTAGATTATTGTAAGCACGAACAATGCGCCACTTCCCATTGGGCTTTATGACACAGAAGGTCGGTGTTGAATGGGGAAATTTGCTCTCACGTACCATTCCTGCCGCGTGCTTTGCACGAAAGAAGTCGTCTATGACGTCACAATGGTCCTTTGGTAAAGGCCACTGCCGTGTTACGCAGTATTTACTTCTAGCAACCAAGTCAATTTCATGACGTACACCTCTATCGGGAGGCAAGACGGACGGTGGGTTGTGACACACCACGTCCTTAAATTCCTTCACCAAAGAATAGAAAGGATCAAGAGGATCCTTAAGGATCGAAGATCCACTACGCGCATCCAATGCTGCCTTTGTGTCCTCAAGGACAGACTCGTCCAATAGCGAGGATGAATTCAACTCAATATCCGGTCGAATGACCACTAACTCGGATAATTCTCCGGCCTGCAAGGATTGACTAAATTCGCCGCCATAAATTTCGTCTAGTTCAAAGAGATTATCCAAAGATGGAAGAGTCTCAAGGCTAGTGTTGCAATCAAGATGTCTAGTCAATTCATTGACAAGTGTATATAGTGTATCATTACTTTCATAGCTTCGTGACGTTCTAGACGTTGGTCTCTTAACAGTTGCCACCCGACGCTGAGATTGTTTCCTCAAAGAAAACTTACGCCTCCTAGAGGCCGAGACAGCAGGGTTTATGTGGTTGCTATTTATCTTAGCACGCTCCATACTAGATCTCTTGTCTTAAACGACATCTGGTGAAGTGTCACGTATCTCGAATACTTCACCCAGTGGATTTACACGTGCCACTTCACGTACAGCATCCGGGCCTAGCCCTGAACACTCTAGCTTTTCGCCAGTAATGTACTTACAGACATATTGTAAGGTGCCACCTCGGCCGCCCTCAATCAGTGAAATATCACGTGCCACCCCACTCACGTCAGAGGAAGTACATTCTTGATGTCTCGGCCTAGGCCAACCATGCCTGCAGCATGCAGTGACTCATTATAACAACGAGTATCAATCAACGGAGTACAACCCTCCTCACATACGTGAAAGAAATCCGCTCAATATGGATGCCATTGACATTGGAGTAAATTAACTCGGACATACCAATGTCCAGCGCTTTGACCTTTTCCGTCAATGGCTCGCGCCAATAGCGCTTTTGTTGCCTAGCAAAGGTGGGTTCATGACTCTCCAAAGCTTCGCTCGAAACATTGCGCGTGGCACTCAAGGTCTTAGACCTCCAATCAATCCTTGGCTCATGGCGTTCAAGCCAAGCCATACCTAGGATTAGATCATATCTCAAATCCAAGTCAAGGTACGAGACAGCGTTCTGTGCTACCAAAGTCCAAAAACTTCACGCCCAAGTTCAACGGAACTTTAGGCACAGTTACGCGACTACCTGTCGCTAACCGATCAGTGATGGAATCACCGTCGTGCGCTTTGAGCGTCTCAGCATATTGCTGACTCCCCTCAAGGGAACGCCGTGGAGCATAGTTGCATGACGCCCCAGAATCGATTAATATCGACCAGTGCTTCTCAAAGCCTTTACCTATCGCCTCGGCGACTAACAAGCCAGGCTTGTATCCACTCTCTGTGCTTGCTGGCACGGAGCTCTGTAGGGCTAAGCCCTGTGTTGCTCTACCTTGTAGAGAAGTGATAGAACTCAGTTCTACCGCATTAGGGCGCCCCGCACCTACTGGGTGTCGACGCTTCCCCGTGACATACCAGACTTTTGGTAGGGCCGGGCTTTCGATTCATAGAAGTCGATTGTTGCTTACGCAGAGGAAAAGTTGGACGCAAGTGTTTAGTGCTTACGCACATATAACAACGTCTCACTCCCTGTTGTTGCTTCGCGACTTGAAGCTCAGCTTCGCCTTCTTCGATAGCATGTCTGAGATCGATCTGTTCAGGCTTACAGTAAGCCGAAATACTTGCTGAGGCTGCCCTCGCAAAGCTTGGGTTGTATCCATTCTAACCAAGTCTGGTTGACTTGAAGTTGTACTCAGCATTTTGAGCGATATAAATAGCCTCCTCAAAATTAGAGGGGTGGACTTGAAACACCTCGGTCCTGGCAACGCCCTTATGAAGACCTTTCATGGAGACAGTCACACAGACTATCTAAGGGAAAGAGTCAGACTGCATAGCAGCCGTAAGAGTTCTTAACTCTTGGACAATGCCCGTTAATCCATTCTTACCCTGACGGGTAGGCAAGAAGCGTGAGCGCACACGATAGGCCAAGTTAGGCGGCGAGAAAACACGTGATAGGTCTAACTTGGGCGAATTCCATGTGGGAAACGCCAAGTCGACCGACGTGCGTACGTCAGAGCCCACTCTTTAGCTCTCCCATCGAGCTTGGAGGTGGCCAGCGAGACGCGCTGGTACTCCAGTGAGATATGGCCAGATCTCATGGCCATCTCAATCTCACGGATACAGAGGATCCGATTTCTATTCTTTTTTCCGGAGTAATGTTTAACGTCCACTCGAAGAGGACGAGACCTGGACTCTTCTGGTGGCATTGCCACGTAATGTGTTGGCACAGCCGACGCTACTTGGTTTTGAACCTGCCCTAAAAGGTTTGTTTAATACTACATGAAGGTCTTGACTCGTGCATTAAGCACATCGGGACCTTGTGCAGCTAGAAACTCCACATATTCTGGGCCTACGGCCGCGGTCATTTTTTAAGAGCTGTCTTTTGGGCCTCAGAGAGGAGTGTGGATTGCTCCATCCTCACAAAGGATCAGTCGTTATCGACTTGGGCGTAGATTGACTACTAGTGCTACTTAGTGTAGCGGAGCTTCACAGCTCCTTAAGTCAGAGGAAGACTTTAACGCTCAATGAGCAACTTTGGTTCTACAAACCCGACTCATAGAGTCAACAGCTCAGAGAGCTAAGGTTTGGTTCAAAGAACCCGACTCAAAGATTCAACAAGCTCAGAAAGATTACGGTCCCTGTTCCAGGGGGACTAAACGATTCAAATAATCAAACGCACAGATTGCACAAGGAGTAGCTGCCTTAACAAGGCGTTGCTACCTCCTTAACGATCACAAGACGCCTCAAAGAGGCACATGTCTATCGGATCAAAATGGGAACTGAACTTTATTTCTTCTTTTAACCTAAAAGAACGCCTTAGCACAAAGTAATTAAACTACTCACTAATGTCCTAAATAAACCTCTCAAAAGATCTTGTAATCAATGGTTGACAGACATCAGTCTTCAACGATTGATACTTGTGTTTTAATATTACTTCAAAAGGTATCCCATCCCTTGTGTGCACCACACCTATTGTCGACTACCAGTCGACGTGTAACCCCGTTGTACTTTGCGTATATAGCCGTGCTTAGTCTACGTGTCACACGATTGCCGCTAACTCAGACGCCAGAAAGCAAACGACTTACCACTATACGTATCGGTGGAGGTATAACAAAATTTATCTCGGCACTGACCCCTATGGCATTTGGCGCTTCATTGTCAAGCAAGTTGATTTGTTCACGACTCGGGACGTTCGAGAAATAAGCAATTTACACGCACATCAAAACCGTTACCAGCGAAGTATTCCTGATTTGCAATATATTTCGAGGTCTATCTAGTTTCTTGTCAGTCTCAATAGCGATATTCGACATCGCTTAATAGTGCCCTCGTCCCGCATCTTCTGATGGTCTTCATCGACAGTCAAATGCGAATGGTGCCAGATGACACTACATCGTGTTGCAACTATAATACAAGCAGCACTCGGGGATTCAACCACGATGCACTTTTACCTGAGCGAGAAAAATCAAATGCCTGATTCAGAGAAAAGATTCAATCAGCCACTTTATTTATTGAGCGTGTGGTTAGGTTGGTGATCATGTTGGGATCAGTAGTAAAAGTCTCGACGCCTTAGTACGCCAATATCGTTTGCCTTCTTTTTACAATAGTGGACGTAATTTACAATGGCAATTTCTATACATGCACACAACCCGACCACGAACTTGCATCGCGTCAAAGGGGCATATATCGAAGCGGGGCAGAAAAGATAAATTCTCAATTGTGATGTGATACCGTCCGAGTGGCATCGGTACCTCTGCAATGCCATCGATAATGGCAATAAAACGACGTTTCATCGACTTACCTCTTGACTTTGGCGTTAGGCGAATCTTGTGTGAATCGAAGCGACACGCACTCGCTTGAGCTTAACCGATACTTCCTCATTCACCGATTACTAAGTCGGGTCACTGAAAAGGATCGCTCGAACATTCCGTCAAGAAATGGCACATAAATCATTCATTAGTGCATTAGACGATCCAGATACATGGACAGAGGTGATGGAAATAGATTGAGAGTCGAACTTGGAATAACTATGTAACTTTTGCACATAACGTGTATCATGTAAGGGAATACTAAACGCAAGTGCGTAATATGCAGACCTACACCTTACTTCTGTTTCTTGCAAGTCGCTCTTGTTGTACCATTCGCGACAATGGCTTTAATGCTACTGCCACTGCGAGACGAAAGAGGTACTGCACCGTATAGGTGCCTCGCATCGCCGGTAGCGAAGCCAGTTTGCATTTGCCATGATGGAAGGTCAGGGAAAGTTGATGGACGAGTTAGTAGTTTCCGACTTTGTACGACATCCTAAAAGAAGGTGCAAATTCATGTTTGATTAAGCCAACATCTTATCTTTTCGGTGCGACGGGCGCCTGTAGAAGAAAGAGGCCAGCACATCCATGGCGTTACACGCGAGAGGCATTTGTGTACTCACCAATTCTCAACTGCATCATCCGTATTCGCTCAAGCCTCGCTGTACTCCTTGTACAAGTTGATGACCCGCTGAACGTCTCGCTTGCAGCCCAAAAAGATTGGCGAGCGTTGGTGGATGTGCGAGGGGCTTAATTCAAGAATCCGCTCCGTGCCGGTGGTCGACATACCTCCAGCCTGCTCCATGATGAAAGACATGGGGTTGCACTCGTACAGAAGACGCAGCTTACCGTCTTTGCTCTTTTCACTTCCCGGGTAAAGATAAATGCCTCCATACAGGATGGTGCGGTGGATGTCGGACACCATACTACCGACGTAACGGGCTGCATAAGGAGTGGCCTTGGTCTTGCACTCGTCGACGAATGCCTTGGTGGCGCGGTCCCAGTGGGCATAGTTGCCTTCGTTGCACGAGTAGATCGTCTTGGGCTCGTCTGGGATTCGAATGTTGGTCTGCGAGAGCATAAAGGCGCCAATCGTGGGGTCCAGCGTAAAGCAGTGCACGCCCTTGCCCCACGTCAGCACCAACTGCGTCGAGCTACCGTACATGCAGTATCCAGCAGACACTAGTTTGCTGCCGGGCTGCAGGATATCCTTGTACCTGCTCACGTGTGGATAGCACCAATTATGTCAGATGGGTGCAGCTATCGCGCTAACCAAAACGACACGAATTCTGCTGAGCGCCCACGTTAACCAATTACACGTACCCTCCCTCGGACGAAGCGTCGCGCTGGTAGATGGCAAAGATCGTGCCCGTGGACACGTTGCAGTCAATGTTCGACGACCCGTCCAGTGGGTCAAACGCAATGCAGTATTTCGTGCCTTCGGTCGCGTGTTCCACGTAAATCGGCTCCTCTTCTTCCTCCGAGACCATCACTTCGATTTTGGTCGAGAACTTGAGCGAGTTGATGAAAATGTCATTGGACAGGACGTCCAGTTTCTTCACTTGGTCCCCCGTGGCGTTTTCCGAGCCGTCGAGTCCGTAGAGACCCGTGAGACCCGCGCGTCGCACAGCGCTGGCAATGACTTTGCAGGCGAGTTCAATGGACGTGAAGAGGACACTGAGGTCGGCGTTTCCCTGGATTTCCTTCTCGCCCAAGATGAAGCGCGAGAGCGTAATGGGGTTCGAGTGGTCCACTTGGGCAGCCATTGGATGGAAAAAACGCCCGCGACGAGTTCAGGTGGGGGTCAGCGACGCAGCGTGTGCGACCGATGGGGTGGATTCGAGAGTGCCGCTGAACTGCAGGGGGTTGAAGCTGGAGGCAGACGCGTGACGTCGCTCGCGTCATCACTGAGTTACTTCAGAGGCAGCTGCGATCGACGTGGCGATCGAGACAAACGTCGCAAAAGTAGCCATTCGCAAGTAGCCAATCGCATCGTTTCATTGAACGGACCTGTAGCTTTCGGAAATAAGACAGGACGGGCAGGCAGTTTGTATACACAATGACATGTCGAACCCGCATCCATTTGACACATTTGTTGCTTTACGTGCTGTGTGAGCAAAAGCGAACGAGAAAGGAGAATGCCGAAGCGCGCAGTTACTTTTCGTCGCTTTACCTTCCGTGGATTTGTGTCCAATGTCGCTTTGAAGCATGAAATTTTCACTGAGACTGATTTATTTCGACTTGTATGTTCGGATAGGCTATCATACGTGCATCGCAGCAATCAGCTCAAGCAGCATGTTTCCTTGCGTTCCACAAGCTTCAGTCCGCACGCTTGACGGTTCATCAATCATTCTTGCTCTTGTGTCGACCCCAAAACTTCGTGCATTTTTATCTTTTCATTAGCATATTCCATATTATTGCGCGTACAATGCTGTCTCATGTAAGACGACAGTTTCTCAGTAGCCGTATTCGTGACTGCATTGATATCAAGTGCGCCGGCTCACGACGTATCGTGAAATACCCCACCGCGCTATCACCATGACTCCCTAAATCAGGCTTAGTGATCATTTACATCTTTAGTTCAGACAGACTAAGTTTGCTGTCCTATAAAAGAAATTATGAATGAAAATTCGCTTCCAGATTATAAAGCGAGGTTCTATCAGTGTGAACAGAAAAGGAAAGCTGTCAGCGATTTTGCGAGCACAAATGGTTTGTTTTGCTGTAAAAATAGAGATTTTGGTGAGTAAAAGCAGTATAAATATGAACTCGTTGTCTAAAACACGTTGTATTACTGAGCTATATTACTGGTGTAAAGTCTGTGCCGACTGACATTAATTCCAAATTAGTCTATACCTTGCTTGAGAAATAAGTTGGTTTTTCTGTGTAGTAGCATGTCATTTTTGGAATTTAATATACGGTCCATACCATGCGCAACTATGTAAATTCATCGCAACAAAGCTGCTTTGTGGAAAAAAACGAGACTGAGATTATAAGCAGTCTATTGATCCTTATGCAAATGGATGTCACAAGAGCCTAGTTTATGCACAGAAGCCATTATTGAAAGAATTGATATTTACTTGTATAAATAATACATTGATCATTAACACTAGTCGTAATTAGGACAGCATTGTTCTTTCGTGATGTATCTCTCGCTAAACACCACAAACATATATAACGATCCATCGATTTGAACAGCACGCGGTTGCTACCATGTGCAAAATGAGGATACATAATGTGGCGACAATCAGGTGGTCATGCTGTCTCTATGTCAAGGTAAAATATTGATGCCATAGTTTTAAGCGAACAGAGTGGTTCATACCGACCGTATATGCCGCATTTGCACTTTCTTTTGACGAAATGTGTAGCAAGGTATCGTTATATGCTTCATTAATTCATTCATATCAATCCCATGAATGGGTAGATTCGACACTACCTGCCTCGCAGCCATTGTAGATGTGATTGTGACCTGTCCAACGTCTCAGGGTATTTATTCTTGAAACAAATCATTCCAAAAATAATATCTTGGCGAAAGATTCTAGAATACCTGCCAAATCAAAACAGTAAGCGGAAACCATATTCAAGGAGCTACATACTAATCGATCGATATGATGCACTGCCGTCACGTAAGACCTATTACCCATTTTAACCTGCCGTATAAAAACTTAACATGTTTTTAAATTGTTGTGTCAAGAATTAATCGACGCTGACACATGGCATTGTGAAGTAAATGGCACTTATGACAGACAAAAGCCTCGTTGCCCTACTCGAAAGTGCATGACAATTACTTTATCGCATTCTTTTAGGTAGCCTATGAATTTTGACTGGTCTTTCCATCTTATTTGATGAAGACGACCCTTATAATTCTGGAGCCGTTATACGGACGACACCGTTTAATATATGTACCACAGCCCCTTAAAATTTAATATATTCGCAAGTCTTACTTTTGTTTTATACGTTGAGGCCTTCGTTTGCAGATCTTTATTTCGCTATAGCTACGGCAATGTCGATAGAGATGAAGATGTGGGGAGGCTAGCCTGAGTCATCGTAACATAAGGGTAACGTTTTATTTAATTAGCTTGTCCAGAAAAGCAAATAAAGGTAGGCGGCCAGAAAGGAATTTGTTCTTGCTTTTATCTTGATATTATTGACATCTTGAAGGCGGATTTGCAAAACGAGTCGGTCTGGCGTAGGGTAGTAAAAAAAATTTAAGCTGGACGTCTAATTTACACAGCTGTGTTACTGTCAACAGCTGTTCTTCGCTAAGGGTCCTTTTTCGCCGCGTATGCTGCGATATCTTCGTCTGCTGCGTGGTCATGTGTTGTATTATCGGCCGTTAACGTGAATACGCCGTCTGACATATTTCGTCGCAGTGTTGCCTTGATAGGGCAGCGGGTTCGAGCGGTCCTGGTACTGCGGACACCGTGCCCTTTCCATTTGTGTGCTCCAAAATGTACACTGTGTACGACAACATTTAATATCGTTCCACTCTTTCTTTTCCCAACGCTTGGCGATCTTCAGCATTTGGCTTCGTATCCTTCTCATGATGCATGGGCATATGGTTTTTCCCTGCCATATTAGGCGATGAGAAATTCGCACCATCCAGTGGTGTAAGCGTCATGTTGTAGTAGCCTATTAAACATAAAATTAGTCCTGCGGGCCGTATTATCTATACTATACATATAGTCTACGAAATCGCTCTAATTTGATTTTGGTTGAGGTAGTTTTACCAAAATGTAGAATCCGATAGAATCTTGTTAAATTTCAAATGTGATGTGGTACATATAACAGGCAAGTGAGTCTTGCGAATATAAATATTTTTAAAATTGGCTGTGGTGCATATAATAGAAGGGTGTGGTACGTATAACGGCTTTCTATAATTTCGGCATAAAAATAATATCTTAAATTTTGTCGTACCTTTTCAGATAGGGTAAGCACTCCAGCCGCTGAATAAAATTTTGTAACGAATGTGTGCAAGATAACTCAAACACTATATTTCAGTGAAGTGGTACAAAAAATGAAAACGATATTCTTTTTGCACCAAATGTCGGTTAGCGTTTTATTTATGCTCAATCGCATTAAGAATTGCGTGCACTGTCTTCCTTTGTCAAATTAACATGAGAAGGTCAATATACAGCTGCTATAAGAAGTTTGGACTCGCAAATTTATTTGACCTGCTGTGCGTGGTATGGTAAGCGACATAATGCCGTAAAGATGACACGCGGTTACCAGTGTCATGTCCATCCATTCTAGAAAATGTTGACAGATCTCAAAGCATATCTAAATCGGAAAGACGGTGCGATAGACAAATCACACGAAAGATAGAGATTGTATATATTTCAACAGCGCGGAAGGTGAAATAAAATACTCGCAAAGTGCTATCTAGCATCCCTTTTTAGTTTAAGCTACAAGTTATGGTGTTACGCTTGGTAAATTTTTACAAATGGCTAGATCCTAAGAATATGATGTTACGCAAGCGCATGCACGAAAAGCTTGACTTGTTCGCGATAAACGGACATAATGCAAAATTGTAAAATATTGTCGCTGACTAATTAGCTTATTTCTCCAGACCTCCAAAGCATCATTATTGCCACTACCTTTATTAGCATCAACCGCTGCAAAAACTATGAGCTTCAGTCGTTTGATTACTACGGTTATATATATTATTACAAGAAAGTGCGCCTATGAAGTGCTTAATGACATAGATGACAAAAAAACAATGTTCAAAAAGTGTTTTGGCAATTTCGTTAGATTGAATAGGTCTCATATATGGTTCCAGTCGCCCATAATTTTTGTTTATATAATCGTCTTGAGTGTATATTATCAGCTGCAGCAGCTAAGCTAGCAGTGCTCTACTGACTAGCAAACTTCAAAACGCGGTCATGTGTCTATTATACATTGTACAGGGTCCAAAATTGCCAATGAGGATTCATGACGTCTCACTTGAAGCCAGCGCGATTTTTTCGACAAACGCGCTTTTCGTATGAGCAAGTATGGTTTGCTCGTACAAAACAGGATAGGAAAATGAGTCGAATTTGCTTATATGAAGCAATCGCACCTGTATAATGAGCTATTTTTTATGAGGCCTTTTATTAGCATGATGAGACATATCGATCTCATATCATACCACTGAAGTAATGATAGACCTATGAGTAAATAATTTTTGGTATACAATACTTAACATTCGTCTCTTTAAGAAAATATGGATGGTTTTTCACCAGAAAAGTACACGTTATGAACTAATACAGTTATTGAGCTCACGTCGATAGACAAGCGCGCATTAGGTGGTGGACGAATATCGAAATTATCTGATTTAAGCTTATCACTATTGAAGCATGACCAAAAATGAGCTAGATATAGATATAAATATATTAGACAAAGCTCTTATTCCCTTTTTACAATATTTACATGTTCAGAATATCAACTTATCGCTAACGCACAGATTTCATGACGTTGTGAGAAGATCTAACTGTCATGTGTCTGAGCATAATAATGGACTGTTAAGTACAAGCAGAGGATGATACTAACGTAGGGACGCTATATATGCATCATTAACATAAGTTTTTAGGCAACAATGCCTAATATTTATACTGTAACGCTACAGGTGTTGCAATCAGCTCATTATGGGTAAATAAAGTGAATGTGATTCGTGCCGTTCTACTCTTATAATGAAGATTTATTTCACCGAATCGATAAACGAGGTAGTATATCTAGCCAAAATTAATTTACAAAACCCTCTGTTTTTTAACTACGGGCATAAGTAACACGA